CGTCCAGATCAGTAAATGCAAACTACTGCCAGTCCCTGATCCGTTTCGCATTTCGTGTGTGCCTGCTCAAGTTGGTAACCGTACGCATCTCTGCCCTCACGGCGTAATGCCCCAGCACCCGATTCGTAGTCATAGCGCTGACTAGGAATACCTTCAGTTGTTCACTCTGGGAGTATCTAAACCATAGCCGCTGGGATATCTGATATGAGTAGCTGTAACGATACTTGTGAAGCCCCATCAAGCATGACTGCCTGGGTAGGGGAAGCACATAAATCATCGTGCCACGCTATTGCGATGTCATATGTGTGACCGAATTACGCCGCATGGATAACGTTGACACAGGTGTGGTCGTATTCAACAGAGCAGGCTTGCAAACTCAACGAGGCTACAGTGTGACACATATAAGGCACACAAATTTACAGAATACACAAATGCATTCATTCCGGGATCTCATTTGGCTTATCGACAGTCATCAATCGGCACTCTAGGTATTTAGCGGTCCTACTGACGTTCAACACGTATGTGACTGCGCGGATGCCTTCATTGTAGGTCATATTATAAGTGATATCGCGCTGTAACTTGGAGAGAACATTCTAAGCCGTAATGCCGGACATTCCCAACTTCTAATTTACATAATTTGCCGAACCCTGACCAGTGGGATACATAAATTAGAAACGCATCTCAGTGAACACCGTTTTCGTGCGGACATTACCTATTTCCCACAAACCGTCATCACAGTTTACACGAGTTATCTCCATCTCTGAGGGAAAGGCCGTAGGTAAGATCAACTGAAAACCATGGTGTACCCCACTAAGGGTGGTCCCGCAATACCTTGGAGAAAGACATCAGTGTACGTTACCAATAAATATATCTGGGGTTACTCTAGTTACAGGTCGGATAGGTGTAATACACGAACACACTTGTTTCGTGGATTCTACACCATTTGTTGGCAGTGGTTTAGCGTCACGCACGAGCGAGCTTCTCCTAAAACCTACTCCGAGAACTACATCTTAAATTCAGTTTGCTCAGTTGGCCAGCTGGATCCTCTCGGAAAATTTCGAAAATCCACCGCCTCATGGTTAGTTTAACAAGAGCCTATAATCTGTGCGACAATAGCCTGAGGAACCGTTCCCGGAAAAATACCTCGGTGTACTAATCCAAGAAGACCTCGATTGCTCGGGGAAATCTGCGTTAGCATCAAAAAAGGATATCCGAAAATTGGGGGCTATTAGAGAGAGCTTTCGGTCACTAACCAGTCTATTTTCCCACAACTGCTTTCTACCTACATACATCCGCATGTGGAATATCCAATTCAAGCATGATCTCCGAAATTCCCCAACGCAGTGCGCCGAAAACGAACAGCGATTGAGTCTTTTGGGAGTCTTCAGTGAACGCTATCGGGGTTTGCGTGGTGATCTCCAAACCAAATTTTAAATAACCATGATAACTTGTGCTATCAGCCGCTAAAACGTAGCCATAAAATAGACTGAAAAGTCGCTGTCGCAGACTGGCAATACGATACATCGAACTAGAGTGTAGACGGAATTTCTGCTCGCTACGTGTCTGCAACATATGAATTTCACTACTGGAACCGATTATTTCAGTCCCTACATTAACTGCGTGCAAAGATCGGGTCTACAACGCGCTAGTCGCGCTACACCGAACCGTACCAACCGACACCCGTTTCTCTGGGAAATCCAGAGCGGTGATATTTTAAACTGCATAGAACTATATGTGGATGATTCATCAGACGGACAGAAGTTCGCTCTGCATGTTCATTGTTTTCGATTGTTCTCCGTTTATAATTGTTATGATTTTGCTTTTAAAAAACCTAACCCGCCATCCTGTGGGACATGTTAAGCCTAATCTTTTCTACTCGCAATAAACCACTACCCATTGAGCACTTAATCTCACGAGACCCGCTGATTGTAACCTAATCTTTTTCCCACGAAACCGTGCAAATGCTCTAGCTGTTTCAGTGTGTGAGTATTTGTAGAATGAAGAGGGGAGTGAAACAGCTGATGCTCTAACATGACACTTGAAAGGAATTTGCAAGGCTGCAAGCAAACCTTTACCAGATGCCCCCATCCAGCCGTAAAGTTGGTGAATATGTAAATCCACCTGGGAGCTGTTCTGTCTATCTTGATCGGATTTGATCTGTGCGATTCGTGTGGGGCCAAGTAGTTGGAATCTGATTGTCATCCGCCCTACATACGGCTATAACTGAGGAACCGCCACCAATATGAGATTTAACCGACTAAATTAAAAGCTTGAATTGAACACAATGTAGACATTCCGCTGTGCTGGATATCGTTCTCTTCCTCACGTTATTGACAGATTTACTACGAGATTAAACGGTAGCTTGCGCCTCTAGACGTAAGAGGGAGTCCAGTCGAAATTGGCTGGGACAGCATCAAAATGAGACTACGGATCTGCATCTTGCAGAGAGCACTTCGGAACATTGTTCGCTTGGCTATCTGTACCTCACGTGTCCCTCGACGCAAACGCACATTTCGCTTGCTCGCTCAAGCCCCCAGTGTGAGACCGCTTTTACTACATCACCATTGGGCTCCATCAAGGCAGGAGGCATGACAGGACATGGTCATTGCTACGTCTGCGTTCGTCCAGAACTGTGCTGACTTCGCCTTACCTTCACATCCCAGGCTTTGGGGTTTGGAACCAGTTCGTGAACAAACCCTGCTTCCACCTCCCACATTGTCCAATGCTAGTGCACACTTAGACGAGGGGATGGCTGAGGTCCGGGTAGCAAGACATCAACCGCTGATGATTTCAGTTTGACCACACCTGTGTCTACTACGTTGGGTGGGTCTAGCTTAAGTGTTGCCCATTTTTGCCAACCCCCCTTCCTCCCAAGGCGTGATGCCTATATGCCGCAGCTGCGTCTATGTTAGATAGTCATGACGGCATACGGTCCGAATGTTATTGGCTGACAGCGGTTGACCACTCAGGGCGTCGTGGATCCAAATTTCGTGACTAACGGATTATTGTTTTTGCGCTAAGGATGAAATTTGCTTCACTATTGATGCAAGCGAATGTTTCACGGATGCGATCAATTGATAGATGGTATATTTGCGGTCAATGCTGTGTCAGCGAGAAGGAAAATATCTCCGTCTCGTTCGTTTTGTTAACTGTCAGCATCAGTTTACCACACGATACCGTGGATGGCTGCTGTATTGCGAGCAACTTGGCCTTTCCGGAGATTGCACAACCCGCTTTTATAGGACTTTTGGCAAGGCGATGAAGAGATTGAGAAAGAAGTGCGTTGAATTGGCTACAAACTGAATCTAATTTGTGATCATACACTGCGGCCGCGGGCTTGGGAAAAGAGATATCATGAAGAGATTAAAGATATTTAACAAGCACCTTTATTACAGAAAGTAACCTGTTGGCATTGATTGTTGCGTCAATGTTCAACATTCTGGTATTATCTAAAGCTAGGCGTGACGGCGCGACATGTTTAGGATTGGCTGTTACATGTGGCGCTGTCAAATAAAATAGCTGACTTCTCTACTCTAGAAGCCGTAGGTCATTGAGTGGCCTATAAGTACGGTCAGGGTTTGCCTGTTGTAGTGTTTTGGGCGACGGTTAGCAAGTTATCTTTTTCAAGATTATCTGACTTCTGCTTTCCTGCTTTCGGTTGGGTTAGAAGTTTTGGCGAGTTGTGTGTGCTATTCGGATTCGCAAATAAGTGAAAGGTCTAATAAATGGCGGCGGGGAAATTTGAAAATGTGATGAACTTTTGCGATGGACGATTTCAGAAGCAACCGGACAAGAATCCTGACAATTCGCACTAGCGACATACTATCGTTGCTCAAAGATGCGGGACTGCAGTCTCGCAAACATGTCTTCTCGATTGAGGTCTACGTACACTTTTCTCATTTTTTTCTTAATTGCGAGGTGGGTGTAATGATACTGTTTTAGTTCATTTGCAGCGGATAGTGCAAAATATTGGAAATGCACCCATCGGGGTACATAAAGTTTATCTTGACTACTATCTTCTGGAGATTATTAATCGTTACTAGGGGAGAGGGGGGTCCACGGTCTATGCGAAACGTAAGGCTCAATAGTGGTTCCATCCGGTGTGGAAGGGGAATAGACTAGCCATCTCTCTGTGTATGTCTTGTATGCATGTTTGCATCTCTCCATCAAATGAATGACATGTAGATTGAAGAAGGGTGGCTCTGAATTAATTGGGGCTCTCACCCACATGTCAACCGATCTTATACCTTCAGCTTTACACTGGATATGGGGTGTGTGGATGGAGCAGTGGGTGGTGCAGCACTAGCCACTATGGTCCTCCTGAAGGCGCAGGTGTCCTGTGGCTGGTCGCAGTCTCGTTGACAGGCAAATCGGGAAAAGGATACTGTCAACCACGGATACAATATGTTAGGAGTAGGGAGGAACGGTAGCGGTAGACAAAAGTAAAGGAGAGTTTGGACGCATGGGAATGTGGTCATTGCCATCGCAGAACCATCAAACAAGGCCGTGATAGTGATGCTCAGTTGGTTTTAACTGTAGGATATTAGGAAGGTTTCGGTGTCTTGTTATGTAGTCTCGCGCTCTCGGTTCAATTCTTATGGCTGCGTCGTCGCATGGCAAAGAAGTATTGCTGATGTGTTGTCATGGTTGCCGCTGATGATAATGATGGCTGTGTTGAGGATAGCGGTTTGCCCTGGATACAAACGCTACCATGACCCCAAAAGCATTATGGAGCCTATGTGGAACTATCAACAGGCACGCGACAGTCGGGCAGAGATGCAAAGGACGCGTGTGCTTGAGGCGGGAGTGATCGGATGTTGCAGTGTCAAATGGAACACGCAGTTTGTCAGCAAAAATAACGAGAATCGTGACACAACGTCCAGTGAATCACGTTATTCGCGGCCCGAAGAAAGGTACAGTAATCTCAATGACACCTTCTCAGGCGTTATACGGTTGTGGATAAAAAAAGTATAGCAAAATGATTCGAAAGCGGAACATACCGTTATTTGGTAAAAGGCTGTGCCGGGAGGTTTTCCTGGGTGTTTGAGCAACTTGGCATGTCGGCGTGTGTCCGACTGGCGCGTGAGGAAGACCCGTACGGAGCAAATGTGGCCCCAGCTCTCCCCCAACGCGGGGACCAAAACGCCTTGAGTATCTGTTGGGGCACAGGTGTCAGAAGTCTCACCGGTTTTGGGACCGAAACGGGTTGTGATTTGGTTGGTTAAGATGACCTGACGGTTGGGGCATGTCATATGGAGGACACCTGCTTAACAACTTTCAAAGGGTAGCAATATGTATAAGAGGTAAAATGAATGAAAAAGTGAACGGAAGATTAAAAAACTCATGAGTAAAAACCAAAGTGCGGGCAGCTGCCCAACCTGAGCTGAAGGAGACGGGGTGGGTAATTAGTCGGGTAGACTAGATTAAGGAGCCACAGTGTCACAGAGAATTATCCAAAGTAGGCCCAGTCGGACTTGCTGAGTAGTTGTGACAAACGCGAGGGAATGAATAACGGAGCCGACAGAGGAGCCAACAACATGAATTCCGTAGATTGTATAAAAGAAGTGGGGTCAAGTTTCTCTCCTCGATACACAGTGCCAAAACAATTTTAGCGGCGAATAACGGTGAAAGAGCACCTAGCAATGACACAAATTGCGCATCGCGTTGACGTAGAGATTCTTGGTGTACCTGAGCATTCGTCCGAATTCGCTGTACTCTAACGTAATGATCTGTGAGGTGGGCCATCGAGTACAACCTGTCAAGAGCGGTTCTTGTGATCGGGTAGTAAAGGTATCTCTTCAATCAGCTGTATGCCTTTAAGCAGCTATTAACTTCAAGAGGATAAGATGTCCGTCCCCGTAACTTAATGGCAGTATGGTGAGGCAGGTTTGCAGGGATTTCTGAATGGACGTAAGAAAGTGGGTCAAACTAGTTTTGCTGTCGATTAACGTCATGCAACACAATTGGTCTACGTCTGAGATGAGCTTTTCAGGTAAAGATGACGGCCGGTGGTTCCAATGGCCGCCTGCTAAGCAGGCAAAGATTCGGACCCAACAAACGAACCTCAAGTACGATTAACTAGCCGCAAGCAAAAGTTAGCGTGGAAGTAAGCTAGTTTGGGACAAGCAGCGTCGTATCGGGCGCCAGCGTCTCGCTAATGTTATGCAATGGAGCCAAGAAAAACCTCAGACCCTTAGTTTTAATGGAGTCGTCAAAGTAATCAGCACGACCGTGGGCTAACTTCTGCGTAAATCTTCATTCAATGCAAGATTGCGAGAGTGGTCTCTGATTATTCGACACAGTGATTCCATAACTTTTGATAGGGACAAAGCGTGTGCTAGATGTATAGTGCCTCACCCTGCACCAGTCCAGCAGAGGGGCGCGAATTACTGGCTGGACTAAGGTGTTGTATTTGATGGAACAACCCACTACTTGTCACAAAGAGAAAAAAATCGCGAGCATAGAAATGAGTGCTCCGCCTATTGAAATAGTTCAGTAACGAATCGCAAAAAAGTGAGACCGGCAGCTGCTGCTTCTACAAGTAAATAGTCGACGAGCTCTATATTTGTCCCGAACATTCCACAGAAGAAAACACCGGCGGAGGTGTTGAATGGATACGCAACAATGCTCGTGGGAGGCAGCAGCTAACCTAATCTAGACAGGGGAGCGATTTCTGATGATGGCCGGAGACAGCTGATAAAACTGAAGTATAGTTACGATGAAGTTACTTTGCTGTCGTTGGAATGGAACGTAAACATGACAACAGCAACCAAGACACACAAATCCGAGTGATCGCAATGGGCATCAGGAGAAGACCTAGGTAGACAGGAGGGGTAGAGGACGCCCCATGGTACCTTGCTAATACCAAGAAAGAACACAAAAGGCAAATTTAAGGACGAGACTAATGCAATGCTTGGAAAGTGCCTTTAACGTGGTTGCTCCAATTGTGGTGTTGGTGAACGAAATCAAAATTGCCGCTAAATTAAAAGACGGAGAACCTTGTCATTTCTACTCAGGACTTTTCAGCCAGTTCATCTCTGCCGTCGGGATTAAGCAGGCCGGGTCCCTAGGTAAGAGACGTCTCCCGAAGAACGGCGCGGCAATACAATATTCGATCAACACCGGACATGAAAGTGACAAGCGAACAGCTTTCGTAGTTCTACGCAAAGAATAGGTGCAACGTAGTTACGGATTCAGAGCTCAAGTGTTTGCCGCTGCTGAGGCAGTTTGCAGGTGATCAAAAAGCCTAAACTTATGTATCCAAAACAAAATTGGGCAGACATCACACCTGTCACGGTCAGTCGCCAAATGACAAGGGGTTTGGCCACACTGAACCATTTCGCGCGACTTTCAACATATGAATACTTAGCCTACGTTATTGCCAAGGTTTAAAACATCTGAACACTTGATGGAACATTGTATTCTAAAATAAACTCAGCACTCGTTAATGTGCATGAGGGCAACAGACCTAAGGTGGAAAACAAATGCTTGGCTAAGGCTTATCGCTTGCGTTCCTTCTTAGGATCCATTGTATGTTTACGTACTGCGAATCTATCGATGTACTCATCCTCCTCATCGTCATCATCCTCATTCTCCTCCTCCTCCTCATCATCATCAGTGCATCTGTCATTGTACTGATGTCTAGCTGTCTCACAAGCACAATGATCTAAAGGATGAAGAATAATAGGAGGAAAAAATGGGGACCTGGCGAAAAAACCAGATGCCCTACGTAAACACTCAGGGCCAATACGCCTACATTTTGTCAACAATAAGCGGTCAAAAACAGGCGGCTAATGTGGGGAGTTTGTGCAATAGTTAGGTCCCATTTCCTGGGCGCACAGTGGAATCCACTGTGGTGGAGCCTACTGCATCCTCTCACCCTACATTAGAAGCACCTAACTACCGAAAATACATAATGCTTATGTACTCGTTAGACCTATTTTGGGTGGCATATGTTCCCCGACGAGTGAACTAGCTAGATATCTGGTTAGCCTATTACAACCGTTAACAAGCGCGAACGAATACGTTTGTAAAGAACTCTTATGAGTTCGTTTGAAAAATGTCGGGTCTAAAGATTGAGTCGGATGAAATGATGGTATTTCGACATTCGCTCGCTCTTAACCAGCGTGCCAATCTGTGACGCGATGGGGATAGCGAAACACTGTTTAAATGGGGACAATAAGTTGGGGAAGAACACAAAGTTTACGGTAAATAAACTAAGCGAAGGAATGACACTGTGCCTTAACATGTCTTATTTCATATTTCAATCTAGATTATACACTCAGGAACAGGGACTTGCCATGGGATCGCCAATATTCTCTGTATTGGAAAGTTTTACATGGAAGAATCTGAAAGAGCACTGACTGACACTAGTAGCTCGACGAAACTTTGGTGGCGCTACCTGTATGACACATGTGTGATCATAGAACGGGATAAGAAAGATGAATCCTTAAATCACTGGAACATTTTGCTCGGACCATAAATTTTAGTATAGAATTGGAACCTTAAAGTAACACGTTGCCGTTCCTTGACTGTTTAGGTTACAGGAATGGGTGAAGTCTAAAGAGCAACAATTAACGTAAGCCGACAGACACAGATGGCGTACTCCACTATAGTTCAGGTTACCCAAAGTATGTGTGTGAGTATCCTGCGGTTGCCTCATTTCAGTTTTTCACAGCCCGGATCCTGTACAAAATGGGAGAAGATAGGAAGGCAGCGCGAAAGGAAGCAATGAACACATTGATTGATAGCGGATACCCGAGGCGGTTAGTGAAACGCCAGTTACAGTGGATTTTAAATTCCCGTCCACGGAGTACTACCGAGTGGATTGGGATGGTAAAATTCCTCATAAAAGGGAACTTCGGAGGCCATCCGGAGAATATTACGCATAAACAAAAAAAGGGTAAGTTTCCAGAGGGGCCAAACGTGAAACGCGACACTGGTGCACTTGAAGGACCCACTCTCCGCAGATAAGACAACCAATAACGTCTACATAATCAGTTGCAAGGACTGCACACACGTCTACATAGGCCAAATCGCAAGATAGTCACGCATAAGGTAGCACAACACAAGAGGCGCATAGCAAGGTCGCCGAAGGCTCTACTAAGTGGTTCGGTAATAGCGATATACGCGGTAGGTACATGTCATAAAATCATCTTGGATAACGCCGAAATCGTTAGGATGGGGTTAGATAGACGCCACAAAGGCTGACTTTTAAGGAGGTTGGAATTAGCAAGGCGAACAGAATGGACGGGGTAGAGCTTTCAAACGTGTGGTGGGCCGCCTTAACCCGACCAGTCTGAGGAGCGTCGGCGGATGGATCCAGGCAATGAATCAACATCACATCATCCCCGCACCCGTCGTTAACAGGACTTGCGTGTGTGACCTTGTAATGCGGATAATTTAGAGAGGATGAATGCACCATTAGGAGTGACACCTTGGCCTGCAACGCGAATAACCTTATACCTACATCCCATTTATCGCGATTATCGTCCCCGTTCGCTATAAGTGCTATATCAAGCAGCGACTGGTTCAATCGGCCTATCGAAGCGTTTGTGTCAAAACCGAAATATTGCCAACTAACTACCCCAACTGGTTGTTTCCAAGCCCTTCTGAAATCACCTAACTAGTAATTTACTAATAGATGCCGGACCTTCTGTGCTTAAGATGCATGGACAGCGTGGACACAAAGGTAGCTGGTTGGTCAAACCACAGTCGGGTTGGATACCGTGAGAAAGAAGTGGGCGCCGAAGGTTGAACGACTCAAACAAGAGACATCGCGACGGTATTCGTAACAGCTTCTGTATATTGCAGCATCCGTCATCATAAATTTGTGAGGATCGGGTCCTCATGAGAGTGCGAGTATTGATGATTCTCTGGTGGTTGTCGTACAAATCAGCGGCGATGTACTCCGCACTGAAATTACAACAGTGTAGAAATTTAAGTGTTATTCGTGGAACGGCAATCCGAAGTGCCAGACAAAAAACTCACTGCCGCCTTCTGCTGATCAGCAGCCCTTTGTATACTTTGAGAGATGGAGGCAAGCACCCGATTGCGTTGGGGAATGTTGTCGAAGTAGTAGCGGAAAGGCAAAGCTATGCTATCCACAACGAACAGACGAACCTGAAGGAGGAGTGAATAAAAATGGGCGGGAGAAGAAAGAGGATGAGGAAAAGAATTCAGGAATGGCGAAACGAACCCCGTCATGGTTTGTAGATATCAAACGTAAGTAGTACGGGTGACCTCGTGAAGCGACAGTACAATTTTTCAAATAGTTTCCGCTCTGCTGAGATGGGGCAAGAAGCTGTTGGTCTTTAGAGTTGCGAGGTGGTGATCATCAGCCGATGATTTAGCGCTCGGATGTTGCTGGGACTAAACAATGAACAATGAATGAAATGTGTTACAAGTTACTCCGTGGAACAAATGAAACGGAGCATATGGCACTAAGTCAGAGTATAGCGTGTGTCCAGTAGACTGCTGAAAGTCAAGTATAGGTTTTATGCAAGGTTTCTCTTCATGCCCTCTTATAAGTGCTCATTTACCAAGGTTGTATGACAACGAAACGTCATTTCGCGTTTACCGATGTGCTTCCATTGTGATTGTCATTAGTAGTGGTGGTGGTGATGATGATGGCAACCAGCGTACAATTGTCGGGTGATTAGTGTGAAAAGAAGTAATTCCCACCAAGCATAGCGTCAATGTGTAGATATATGAAAGCAGGGTGGAAATTAATATGGATTCTCGTGCCCACGATGACAAGTTTGTAGCGTACCTACTTTGCGAACGGAATGCGAAAAGCAATATCCATCCGGACCACGATTCGTAATGAAGTGAACCTCCGTCAATTTGGTCACTGGGACCGTAGCTGAGGCAGATAAATGTTAGGCGCTGTCTGTCCTAAAACATTGTACTATACGACTGCTTTCGTACGTGTTTGCAGATAAAGCAAAATTGCGATTCAAACCCGGTGAGTAGAGACTACCAGCTACAGGCCTTGATCCCGTCAACGAATCGCGGATAATGCGTCACAAGGGTTAGCAGTAACGTCAAACATTTATCTGTTTCGGTGTGGCCTTTAAATGAAGCGCGATTAAGGAGAAGGCAATAATGGGAACTTAGTGCAGAGACAGAACAACACCATAGCAATCCGCGAAAAGGAGCAGATTTGGATGATCAAGGAACCAGGCGATACTCACTTTGGGGTGTTTCTCACAAAACTGCAACAGTCGTTGACATGCGGCCAGCAGCTGTAGGTGGTCGTTTGTGCGGATGTAGTGAATGCTGGACATGAGCTTATCGATGGTTGGGCAATGAAGGTCACGATCTGCATCCGTAACTGGTTGATTAGCTGAAGGATAACATAAGAATGATACGGAAGGTCGCTAAGGGACAGCAGATGTTGAGACTACTTGGTAAAATCCAAGCGAGTTTGTGCTATACGTTGGAGCATAGGTTTCGTGGTGCAACTGTAACGCATTAGGTTATAAACATGGAGCATGTACGCTGTTCAGATGTAAGAATAGAGATGATGCAGTCTTATATGAAATGTATCACTACCAGACGGTAATAACCAATTTCCCATTCTATAAAAGATCTTATCCAACGGTGGAGTTACACCAAAGAGAAGAAAAATTTTGTGAAATACACAGTATCCGAGTAAATTGCCAAACTCTCGAATTCGCTGATACTATTTGCATCAAATAAAGAGTAGGAAGCGAATCCACGTGAAACCGATAACTACGAACGCGTGCAACACGGATTTTAGTCTCTGACCCGACTAGGTTTAATGCCTCCGGTAAAAAGAGCACAGAAAAACAACTGCCAAATATGGTGCAAAAACTGAGCAGACGTAGCGTTGAATAAAACGGAAATTTGAAAATGTGAGGCTTTGGGTGAGATTTGCCAATCCGGGAAAATTGTTCAGTGAGTAAAATGTTAAGACTAGCATGCACAGATGCTAACGGAAGCCAGAGGGGAGGTGGCAGATAGACGGCTCCGACGAAGTCGCTCCCGTCCTGAAGTTAACTGGTAAACGGATGCATTCATTTGATGTAAAATCGCTTTTCACAAACGTCCCATTGCTGGAAACTGTTAATTTCATCTGCGAGTATATAACCGAAAGGAGCCTAAACGTTAGCATTCCAGTGCCTAAGCTCAAGGAGTTAATTTTGCGGTGTACCTTTAATAGACAATTCTTGTTTGACGGAATCTATTACAGGCGTGGCGATGGGGTCGCCCCTTGGACCTCTCCTTGCCGACATCTTTCTCGCTAAGCTTGAGCGTGGTCCCATCCAAGCGGTTATTGCCTCATTTGATTCTTATTGGAGGTATATGGATGACACTTTCATCATCTGTGATGCTCGCACTGATGTCTACCATCTGCTTGACCAGTTCAACAGTCCACAACCCTCAATGAAGTTCACTAGTGAAATGGAAAATGAAGGTAAGCTGGCTTTTCTGGACGTTTCGTTGAGGAGGCGCAAGGACGGATCACTTGAGCGAAGTGTCTTCCGCAAAAGCTACATGGGTTGGACAGTACACACATTTTTCGAGCTTCGTCCCTCTGAAGTACAAAGCAACTTAGTGCGTTGCTTGTATTACCGGGCTACCAACATTTGTAGTCCGGAAACTCTCGAGGGTGAGAAGGACCGAATAGTGAAAACATTTCTTTCGAATGGTTACCCTGAACCTTTCATCAAAAAGCACGCCATGACCCGTGAGCGCGTTAATCCCGCAGCAACGGTTTCGAAGAAGGATGTGTTTCTCTCTGTTCCTTTTAAGGGGTATGTCGCCTTCGATCTCCTGAACAGGAGACTTTCTAATGCTGCAGCAAGGACCTACCCGCTCGCACGTAGTGGCGGAGACCGCACCCTTTATGGCTCAACGTCTTAAAGACAGACTGCCAGTGTCATCCAAATCGTACTTTGCTTACCAGTTTACTTGCACCTGTGGTGCCAAGTACCTCGGGGATACGAGCAGGCGTCTGTCGATACGGATGGCTGAGCATTGTCCAGGGTCACTGCGGAGAGGCACGCTCAGAAGTATCAACAGCTCGATCTCGGAACATTTGCTTCCAAGTGGGCATCAGATTTTGACCAAGGGTGCCTTCAAGGTCTATTATACCGTACCGAGGCGATATCCGAAAGGGTTAAGGAAACGCCTCTTGCGAACGGCTGAAGCCATCGCGATCCGGCTAACACAACCAGAGCTATACAAGCATAGGGTACTTGTGCAACCCTTGACTTTGCCATGACCTTGATGATAAGTCTTTCCCCGGAGTATTACGCATAACCGAGTGCTACTTATTTATGTAATTATCTAATTTTTATATTGTTAGTATTTTGTCTCTTCTGTTTACACAAATTGTTTTGCTGTCTGTTAGCCCTATCGCGATGTCACCTGATTAACGATTTGAGCATTGAACAAACATGCCAAATCTGTTCAAACCGTCCCATCCGTCCTCATTCTTTACTGTTGCATTTATCATTCCTGTAGCTGTAAGTGCCTGATGTGAACTACCGAAAAGAGATCTCTTGGCAACCCTGTGTTTTACTTTTCCATGGGCATTATCTAGGAAGTAGATTATTTATACAAAAAACACGGTTTTCGCTGGATAATATCGGCCATCAAACATGGAGACAAAGTTAGGCAAAACAGAACAAGTGCCATCGGGTCCTTTCACAAGGGTCAATTGGGTGGTTGGTGTTCGCAATGACACAAGACGGCCGCTTCGCTTGCATGGATTCTCACCGTCTCCATGCCCATCATTTTCCTTCATTCGATAGTTGTTTTGACAACCGAGCACCAGTACGGTGGAAACCGTTGATTTGTTAAGGGACGAAAAAGTGGCTTAGCGCACTCATAAGTATTAGCTTGCTTGTCTGCTTCCTGGAGAGAGGTTCGTCCACACTCCGCCCGGTTTAGATAAATGTCCAAATGCAATGGGTCCTGTTGCCTTGATTCGCGCCATTACGATAACATAAATTGATAAGGAAATAAAAAACAGAAAAGAACAAAAGAAGCCAGATGGAAGGGAGTGGGAAAAGGTTGAATGGAGAACTTGAAAGCAAAGAGAAAAGGACTAGATGAAAGAGCGCCACTGAGCTCTCGAGTAAAGTACGCCGAGCATCAATACGCGGATATGGCCGATCCCGAAGTTACTTGAGTGTATTCACAAGTGTAAATCCGACTGTTTCACCCGGTTTGTTACATCATGCTCTCAAACAGTCGAGCTTAAGGCTCACGAAACGAGGCACGGGAGTGGCCACAATCCGACAGCCCGAAAACACTGGTGGTGCACAGTATTTTCGGGAGGACAACACCCAATTTCCATGTGCTTCGAAGATCATAGTTATTTTACGGAAACGACTGAGACCATTGGCTCACTGTCATGGCTTGTGGCATTGCTCTAGAGAATACCACTCAGTGATCAAAATTCAAAGGAGAGTTAAACTGAAGTGTTAACGCATTTTCCCACAATAAAAGATGGAAACCTAGTCCTTTCAGGTGGCCTGAGAATAACCGCTGAATCGAATGACGGGCACGTTTGGTGTTTATAGACTCAATAGTGACCATATGAGGTTGAATGGTCATGCTGATGACCGTGATCAGCATCAAAAGAGCGGCATAGAAATACCATAATTTTGAGAATTGTTAATGTGAAGTGCAAGTGTTTACGGGAGGCGGCTGAGTCCACTACCAGAACGGAGCGAATCGATGTTACCCTGTCTATCTCTACTTCCCAAATTGGTAACAATTCAATCACAAGCGCTTCATGCAAAGTAGACGCTTCATAGGGAAGAACCGATGAATTAAGGCAAAAAGGTAATGCAACTATTTGAGGGAGGAAAAGAACTATTGAGAAGCCTTCTGAGTCGAGATTAAGCATAGGTAGCGACCAACAATCTATTCTGCATGAACAGCATGGCCATCTACAACGCATCATCATCATCATCGTCGTCGTCATCATCATCAACATCATTCTCATACTCCACCTACCTCCTTCTCATCCTCCTCCTCCTCATCATCATCATCAACAACAACAACATATCGGTCATCTAAACTTATGCTTCGCTGCCATACAAGGATAATGACCTATGGAATGAAAAATAATAAAAGGGAGAGAAGGCGGACTCACAGAAAAACCTAAATGCTCTAAGCAAATATTTAAGGTCTAGGCGCCTACACCTTGTGTTAACAACATACAGTCACAAACAGCTGGCTATCATGCAAGGATAAGGCGGCATCGGCGAAACAGCTTCCTTGCGGCTTTCACTGCCCCGTCATAACAAGCCATCACCCCGCAGATAACTCAGCACCACGCACACTTTAAACAGGCAATCGGATTAGGGGACGGGCAGCAGACGCGCCACTAGTGTCGGCTGCAAGCCACGTCCTGTAAAGTTTCGAGCCAAGCACAAGGCGGGTAATGTGGACTCCAGTCCGGAAAGTGAGACAGACCAACGGCCCCCAGTTTGGTCGTCAGTGACTTCATTTCCCGCTGCCAAGTCAAGTTCTGTCCACCTCGAGCCTTGTGCCACCTACATCTGGCAGACTAAACAACGCCCTCCTAGGTAAGCCGTTACCAGACATACGTAAAACGTGGCCATGCCAACGCCACTCATTCAGTGCTATCTGGTGTCCTAAGGAACTAGCTTGGTTTTCACGGCCTAGGACCCGCCTACGCACGTCATCATTGCGGACATGCTGGTGCAACCCGACACCAGCAATGCTCCGCAGACAACGATGATCAAAGACTTGAAGGCGCCTCAGATCTTCAGACCGAAGGGGCTGTCTCACTCCCATAGAGAAAGAAGGCCCTAACTGTGGCCACGTATACAAGCCACTCAGAAGGACAGAAACTCCTTTCGATTGCCATAGATGCCGCAGGTTCAAGAAGACAGTTCTGGCTTTTGCAATGAGTGAACTGACTTCAGTTTCTATGCGCCCATCATTGCTGATGTAGCTGCCAAGGTGAGTGAATCGATCAATCACCTCGAGTTCCTCGTTATCAAGGGTCAAGGGATCATCAAGTGGCTGGTGGTCTTGTAACCACACTTTACACTTTGAAGGTACCAAGCGCATACCAAATAATGGGACCATTCTAGAGGCAATACAGGGATGACTTTGCAGCCCCAACATCGTCAAAAAGCAAGGCGATATCGTTCGCATAATCAAGATCAACTAACTCACTAGCCAGGACTTCAACGCCTACATCGTGAGATTCCGCAAGGGAACACTCCAGGGTAGAATCCACGACGAAATTGAACAAAAATGAGGAAATTGAACTAACCTGATGAACGTTACTTGTTGTGGGATAGCTATCCCACAGGTCACCGTAGACGCTGA